GGACTCAATTGCAAGAAATTCAAAGTTCAGGGATTGAAGTGCAAGTAATAATAAATTGGATCAGACCTCAAAACAAAGATTTGAAAGTGGTAGGAGGCAATTGGACAAGAAGAGAAGACAATATGATGAAAAAGGATGAAGAAGTACCAAAAAGAATACATGAAAATGTTCGGGTACCAATTTGCACAATTGGCCGCAAAACGTGAAGCCATGCGTATACAACGATCCCCATATGCTTGCGAATTTTGTTCGAACAAAAACTTTTGGTTGGTGGTGAGGGATGATGATCAAAGATTGTTAAGTCTTAAAGTGCTTTATTTGTGCATTTTTTCACTTGGTCACATTGACTGATCATACGATAAGTTTACTTATCAATAATCGAGATTATTCTTCAAAAGAATAATTTTATGTAAGGAATTATAAGCAATCAAATTTGTAACTCTTCTCTTCTAGCTATTTTAGCACAAGTTTCATGATCATTTGTTATCCCTTCATCGATCACTCCTCTTTTGTTGATATAAGAGTAATTTGTTTGACAAATGTGAGTAATCCCATATTTAGAAATAGAATAATGTTACTTATACATAATACTATAGCATTATATAAGGGTTAATACTACTTGTACGCTTTCGGTGTACATAATAGATTATACCCTCTCATATGGAGAGGGGCTCACGCATAATAAATTACATATAGGCCTCCCTCCATGTGAGAGGGATGTGAAGCATTATGTACAAGAAAGTGTACATGCAGCATCGCCTGTTACATAATGATGTACATAATTATGAAGTGTTCAAAATAGAATGAGATTTTTTTTATTTGATTAAAGAAATTATGAATCAATTATATCTCATCACATTATGTGTAAGTAAATCATTATATACATGTATAGCACAATCGAAATAGAAATAACAATCCTGCTTGAAAAAATTCATTTAAAATTATACTTCTATGCTATTTTAGTTTGATTTCTCACAAAATATTTTACTTTTCTTTTTAGTACTATTTTTATTCTACAAGACAATTATTAAACAATTCACAATTTCAATAAATTGGCCCCCATAGGAATGTAAGTAATTTATTAGGTTTATGCTGCTTGTACAAATTTTATTTGTTAGATTGGTGCTAGATTCATACTTGGCAATTTGTGATTGGATGATTGAAAAATATTTTTGACACAACTGCCAATAAAATCTTGTCAAGTATGAATCTTACACCATTCTGACAAAATGAATATGTACATGTAGCATATCTCAAATTTTAACCATAACAGAGCGAAACACATTGTTGTTAAATTTTTTTTCATTCCATCTGATTTTGTTTAGTGTTGAAGCCAAAGAGTGTTTCACCCAAAAAAGTACACAGAATTTCTATACCGTTTTAGACATTAAACTGAATTAACGACATTTAGTTTGTCTAATCTCTTCATCCATGCATTAATATTTATCCACCTTAAAAAGACCGTAATTCTTCTGACATAAAATATAATAGTCGCATGAAAATACAGCTTATAATTTACTTAATTTGAGTAAGCTGAATACACATCCATGCACTATATAAAGTGCGATTTAGACATTTCTTAACGGTTAACACCATCATTAGTTAAATTATTCTCAATACATTTTTAATAAGAAGATTTATCCTTTTTGGATAATGCAATTAATGGCGTTGACATTGTACTTTCAAGGGGCGTAGCCACCGTGGCCGCCACCTTCACCACCGCCTGCACCTCCTCCGTATCCACCGGCATGTTCACCTCCAGCAGAAGCGCTTCCGCCTCCAGCGCCACCACCTTCACCTCCCCCGTAACCTCCACCATGAGCACCTCCTCCTGCTCCGCCGCCAGCACCTCCTCCACTACCATATCCACCAGCTGTTGCTCCTCCAGCAGAACCACCTCCACCACCAGCTCCATGTCCTCCTCCTCCGCCAGCGCCCCCACCGTGCTCTCCGCCAGCACCATAGCCACCTCCACTACCCGCTCCTTCACCTCCACCGTACCCACCACCATGTGCCCCACCTGCACCTCCACCTCCACCACCACCTCCTCCTCCGCCACCTCCTCCACCACCACCTGCTCCATTTTCACCTCCTGCGCCATACCCAGAACCGCCTCCTTCACCACCTCCCGCACCATAACCTGCCCCACGATCTCCTCCTGCAGCAACAGACCCTCCTCCGCCACCATTTCCACCTCCACCGCCGCCACCTCCAACACCATGTTCTCCACTACCACCATATCCAGCACCATTACCTCCACCGCTTCCAGCACCACTTGCATAACCATGTTCACCTACTGCTGCAGAGGCGGATCCTCCACCCGAACCTCCGCCACCTCCACCGCCGCCAACACCAACGCCTACATAACCATCGACTCCGATGGAAACTCGAGCCTCCGAATATATAACTCCAATTAATAAAACAAAGAAAAAAAAACTTAAAACACTTGTATGTGTCGCCATTGGAATTGATATTTGAGTTGAAAAACTCATTGGCTATTTATAAGGGTGCAAAAGCGCGTCCATGCACTTTGAAGATTGAAATACAAGTAAAGTGCATTCCTTTTGTCGCACAAAGTGGTCCAATACACAAATACACCATAAAATTGCAGCTGATAGTGTGTTAGTGCTGTCTCCCACAGCAAATTATTATTTTGAAACAATATTTGGATGAGAATCGTTTGGTTAGGTCGCCTAAACAACGAAAATGCCTGATGTACAGGGTCTGTACAGGCCCCCTCACATGCTGGATAAGGGGAGTGGGGGGTGAGTGATTATTTAAAAAAAAAAAATTACCCCCCATAATGTGTGTGGCCTGTACAGGCAGCATTTCTCGGCTTGAAAACGATAGGATAGTGTGATCTGCAACCACCCTTTAATATTGCAATCAAGTACTCCTCACATGATAATCTCACAGTAGCATCTCTCAGTTGGATACACCCAATTTTCTTGTCCTTGAGACATTCTATTTGGAATCCAACTCAGTCTAATCCTTTTCCCACTGGCTACGATACTGTTAATGAACCGGATCAAGATGATGCTATATTTCATCACCTTATCTTTAGCAGTATTGATAATTTGACTGTACGAGATAAAGAAAATATGATAGGGTTTACGAAGTGATGGACGGAAATGTCTAGTATTTATTGAAACTAAAGAGCCATGTATTCTCTAAAAAGTTGCTATATAATATACCTAAAAAATGGGCTTATAATGCTAGTTTAGATCAATGAGGATAATCTGATGTGTGATACACCATAATTAACAAATGATAGTGGATGGGGACAATGATAGTTATTAAGAATTTACTTTTTAAAAAATATATGATTTTTAAATCTACACTACCATAAAAGAGAGAATGAGGGTTTACAGTTCATTTTTGTCACACTCGTTTTCACATTTAACTGGTTTGGCAACAGGAAAAATGTTATTCAAAAATACTGTAGGAATTTTGTCACACGCTATTGTCCACTGTAATATTTTTCCCTTGCTTTGAATCTGAAACACCATGCTCTTTCTCCTGATTCTCATACTATTAACTATCAATCATTTCTTATATATTTAAATTTTGAAAATTATATTAATAAACGAAATTATTGTAAATAAAATGTAAAAAAAAAACATATTCACTTCGTATATGGAGAAAAAAATTATGTTTTTCTTGAGCAAAATGATGTATTGTATTGAAAAAATTGTTGCAAAAAAATAATAAATAGTAATAAAATAATTGATTTTTTTTGAAGAAAAAGGATTTATACGCATTTTTTAACACATATGTTTAATGTTCGTTTAACTATTTTCGATATTAATTTACATCATTCGATGTGTCTATGATATATTTCTCGAAATGAGTTTCAACAGAATGTAAAATATTTATCGATTCGACTATCGTATAATGGTCAATGAATTTTTAAAGTTAGCTTGTTATCGAGAATTTTGAAATATAGTTTGAAAATGCCTATTTTGACGTCCCGTAACATTTGCTACGATTAGCCGTTTCACGCACCGTTAACGACGTGCAATACTATGTAGCGAGTATTTCAATATAATATTAAGAATGTAATATTTCGACTTCGTTTGATATCCTGTAATGAGCCTGAAAATGAACATAAAAACATAAGTTAAAAAAAAAAAAAAAAAAAGTCGCAACATTTAGTAAGCCTCCGTGCACGGATCAATGTTCGAACTAATGCATGTTTTTTTTTTTTGTCGTAAATTATTTTATTAATATTTAATTTTAAACAATTAAATATATTTAAATATTTACTTACAAATGTTAAAGTTAATATTTTTTACTTATAAATAACATTTACCATTACAATTTTTTTATTACTTTTAAATAACTTTAGCTGATTTTTTTTACTTATAGTGTAATCTTTTTATTAATATTTAATTTAATAAATTAAATATATCTAAATATTTATACTTAACAAATTTTAAGTTAACATTTTTTTAATACATATATTAGTAGCTTTTGCAATTATATATAAGAAATTTAGAATCTAAAATGTAAAGAGTTACTTACTATTATAGTAGTAGGTAAAAAAAAATGGTAAAAGTTATTTCACATCAGAGTTAAAAAAAATTGTAATTGTAACTTCGATTTTTTTAAAAATGTAATTGTAAAAGCTATTTATAAGTGAAAAATATGAACTTCAATTTTTAAGTATATATTTATAAAATGTAAATAGTTACTTACGAGTAGAAAATTTGCTCCAAGTTACTTACGCGTATAAATTTTTTCGTTTTTTTTTCTAAATTGCTTGATTAAAATGATTTCAATTTTAATTATTTGTATTTATTATATTTTTTTACTTCCTTTCCGGTGGATTGGTAGAAATTGTATAGCTTCTTGTTAAAAAAAAACTCAGAATTGTATTTTTGTCACGTACGTTTTCACATTGATCTAGTTTGAAATGTTTGGCTCAATTGGTTTGTCTTTTTCATTTAATATAATAAATAAAAAAAGATATAAAAAATATATAAAGTAATGTACTATCTATCACTTTCTCAAGTTATCCAGTCTCTTTCATTCCTTCAATTGGATTGATTTGTCTCCAAAAAATTGAAACTTTCGTCTACGAAAGAACTTTCCATATTTAAAACTTTCAATATTCTTCTTTCTTTCTGTACAAAAAAATTCGTGTAGTTGTCATCTCGATCTTAGAGAAGAAAATCATGGAATTTGTAACGATTCTGTTTGGGTATATCCTTCGAAATTTTAATTTTTGTTTGTGTTTTTTATTTTTTTTGTTTTTCTATTTATTTAACATATGTTTTTTTTATTCTGTCCACAGATGAAAATTTAGTTTTGCTCATATTTTTCTACGTAATGTGAGGTTTGTTATTCTTTCTGTATATACATGAAAATATAAGTAAATTTTTCTTTATTTGTTGGATATAGCTATGAAGGTTTTATTTTTTTTTCTTTCATATGTATGTATTTCTTACTATTTTTTTCAAATTTAAGTAATGTAACATTTTTTTATTCTGTGTATACAACTTGGTTACGTCTTTCTTTCTTTACCGTTATTTACATGAGAAGTGTAAGTTTTTCGATCATTGTTGTTTATGATTAAAGAAGATTACAACAGTTTGATATAGGAATGTTTGATTGTTATCGTCCAATTAGTACGATTTATAGTTCTTTTTTTACATACATTTTCGAAGAGGATTGTTGATTTGCGGAATGTTTCCTAATATGTATCTGAGTTCAGTCAATTTAGTTTATACTATGTTTAATGTAATATTATCATTATTTCTTGGTTTTTAATTAAATTCATAATTTCTTCTATTATTGAAATCAGAGGTCAGTTCATTGTTTTCATGGATTCTTTCGAAAAATCTATGAATGAAGAGTCTGGTTGTTTTGATCTTCAAACTTTGTCCCAAAGCACAAGTCAATCATATAATGCTTTCATTCGACAACAACAAAATTGAAGGCAGGCGGATAGGAGATATCGAAATGAAACTGTAAGTATTGATCATCGTAAAAGAATAAATGATCGTATGTTATCTACAAATAATACTTCTGAAGCTGATTATGTGCATGAATATATAATACATTCTGAGGCATCTACTTCGAATGAAGAAATGATAAATATTTTTTATTCTGAATTACATGGAAGCTCTAATTTGTTAAATGTACCAGCAATTGCATATATATTACCAACTTGTGCTTATTATAAGCATTGTGGTGCACGCAAATTGTATAGAGAAACTAAAGATTTTTATTCTTCTAATAGAAAGGTGAAACTTTTTATGCCTGAGTCATCGGATGAATTGTATAATTTATTTATGTCTATAGAGCCTACATCTATGGAATTTAAAAAATATGCACATTCATATAATAACCACTTTGCGTTCACTTCATTTGGTGTAAAGTACGATAAAGAACTGTTTAAAGCATACAAAGGTATCTACACATTTAGAATTCAGGGACAAGTATATCATTATGTAAATCAACTTATGCCGGATAATAATACGTCTTGTTATATGCAATTATATTTTTATGATACAGCTAATGAACTAGAAAACCGTGTGAAAACTTCAGAACACCTGGTAGAATCTATTTTATTTCTTCTAATCGGAATCTTGAAGGTAAATCCGTATAGTAAATTTTTTAGGTCTTTAAGCAATATAACTTATTTGTATAGTTATGAAACTATCATTAAACTATATCATTAACAACAAAAGAAATAAAAAACCATATATATACACGTACAAATGTGTGAGGTGGGCCCGCAGAAAATGTGTGGTGTGTCGCACCCGCACAATTATAAGCAATTTTTTCTTTCTTCTACACTCGATTATTAACAAAATGTAAGAAACTCTCATTTTCAACTTTTACAGGAATTTGGTGCTGACTTGCTGTGCAAAGATGTCTACTTTCCCGTTTGAAGATATCTATTTTTCTGTTTGCACACAAAGAATGAGCAGGACTACACCGCACACCGCGGCAAGATTTATGTGGGGGTAGACCCCACAAAAATGCACATAATTGTGTGGGGTAGCTACCTCGCACAATTTTGTGCGAGCTACCCCACACGCACTGTTTGTGCGGGTAGCCCCGTACATTTGTGCGGGCTACCCAGCACGCACCATTTGTGCGGGTAGCCCCACACAAATTGTGCCTGTGCACCCGCACATAATCGTACAAAGTAGCCCGCACACCCTCACAAAGTGCGGTTACCCCGTACATTGAATGTCCCCCTAGTGCAGTACCCACACAAATCTGTAGGATACGACATTACTCGCACGAGGGGTATACCCGCATCTTCATTACTTTCTCTAAATACTATCAAATTTTAAATAAAATTTATATTGTTTTGGTTAAATATTAATACAAGAAATAAAAAAGTATTATCTCTTTTTTCATTTTTTGTTCCCACAAAATCTTGCAAAACATTACAAATCTTGAAAAGTCACGAGAATCCTGTAAGAAGGTGCCAAAATCACTGCACATATTATGTCTATTTCTACAACTGTG